TGTATTTTTAGTAGAGACAGGGTTTCACTATGTTGGCCAGGCTGGTCATGAATGCCTGACCTCAAGTGATCCACCCACCTTGGCCTTTCAAAGTGCTGGGATTACAGCCATGAGCCACTGCACCCAGCTGATTTTTGTCATCTTAAAGTCCAGGTGCATTACTTCATTGCTATATGTTTGAATTCAGTGTTTAAGAGGACATTCCAGATGGATATGTTGCATGGTTGTTGTTAAGTTTAGATGTTGTAGATGTTACGTCTTAATATATAATTTGTACTCATGATCATCACGATTATTAGTTCTGCTTTCCTCCTTTACACTACATTTTCCAGAGTTCATAGGTTTATCACTACATCCCCAGACAATAAAGTTTTACGTAGAAATGTGGACGTACCTGACAGAATTTTCTTCCATTGAGATAGTCATTCAGACTAGTGGGAGAGAAGATAATCTGACACCTTTATCTTCATTCCAAACAGAGGGTTCTCTTCCCTCTGGACACCAGATTACTTACTTACTAAATTACTCAAAAGCCCTAGGCACTATATTTAACAGGTTGATAAGATTTGGTTATAAAGCATTGGTTTGAATTTAGGCCAAGTGCTGTGTTTTGTATATAAGAAAGTGCTTGGTTCCCAATGGTACCATTTTCTTTCAAATGGTACCACTGGCTTTCAGAGTGATTGGGATATTCATATGTGTGTGGCTAATCTCAGTAACATCGACCCACTATCATTAATAGCCTTGACTATAACCAGATAGACAGGGAGTAAGAAGACACAGAGGACCCTGTGCTAAGCTTTGTTATCACACGTGATGTCTGAAACAAATGACCAAATTGCTGTTCCTTCTCTGATTGGATGTGACACACAGGCTCACATAGTTGAAGGGAAATGCCTAAAGGCATTGCTCATTTCCCTCTGCTTTTCCCTACTCCTACATATACAGAGAGAAAGAGAGAAAGAGAGAGGACAGAGACCAAGAGTTTGCCCATCAGTACACACAGTACTCTCTGGCATGGGGAAATCAATATCCTTACTCTTCCCCAGGCTACAGACCTTTCCATTCCCCCCAATTGAGTATGGGAGGCAGAAGTGAAACTTGTTTTTATTGCAGCTGCATCTATAATAAATCATTTTCAATTCAGACGGAACAAAGAACAGGCAAAGTACAAAGATAAAATGATAGTGGTAGGCAATAAATGGNTATTCACATCTACTTAATGACTGATAGTCTTAACATAAATGCTCTTCCCCAAAAATGACTTATAGATGAACTCCAGTAACCCAAAAAATGTGTTCAGACACGGTTTTACAGCATTGGCTTGTCTGTAGATTCGATGTCTGAGCCACTCACCATCTTCTCAAACAAGATGACCTGACAAGAAAAGAAAGATTGATAGTGGGAAAGGTGAAATGTATTTAGTACAGGATGAAACAGACACTGCAACTCACACTGATCTGAAAGTTTATGAGATCTCAAGGCAGAGATTTGAGTGACACACCTCATTGTCTTCTGGATGAAGCCAGGCTCCCGGAAGGTACAGTGTTTTCTGAGGCCCAATATTCCAATATCGCCCAAGGTTACGTCCATTGATGAACACGAATCCATAATTCCAGTTCTGAAAGGAATGGTGGCTTGAGATGTAGAAATAGGTCCACATTAGCAAGGTAAAACCTAAGGCACTTGGGGAGTGAGACCAAGACTGAGATACTTCATGGCACTCAAAGGGAGGTGAGTTTAGAGTGGGATGTGATCTGGAACTCCTACCTTGCTGTCTAGGAACGAAAGAGAAAAACATAAATAGAACTAACTCTTTAATGGTAAGGCTGCTGTTGCTTCTGTTATGTGATATATAATGTTATATATTTTAAAGAGGAGATCTTCTACTTCTAGAAATAAATACTAGGTAATACTGATGAACACCACTGCTGACAGCAGTTATTAATATAAAAGCTGCACATTTTTTAAAAATCTGCTTGCAATGTAATGAAGAATTACAGAACCAAGATCTAGAAGAAGAAAATGGAAAGACAAGAGACATCCAGGCAGTTTTTCCACTAGAGGCACTTGCTTATTCTGGGATATAACAAAAAGGCCTAGTGTGTAAAATTGGACTCCCTGAAATACTCAAAATTAAAGGCCAAATTTGCTGAAGTGGATTTCAAATAAAGTAGTTATGTGCTATGTATAAGAGAATCATCAAAAACATAAGGTATTGAAAAAATAAAAGAAAAACAATGGATAAATATATGTAAATCCTAACCAAAAGGAAGTTGCTATAGTTCTGTTAATATTCAGAAAAATAATGCTTCAAGGCAAGAAGCATTATTAGAGATAAACAGGAACATTTCATGACGGTAAAAGTCTTAATTTACCATAAATCTACATATAACATACATAAGGAAAATAAAAGCATAGATTCAAAACATATCAGTGAAATTGACAGAATAATAAACAGAAATAAATTTACAACCATAGTGGGAAATTTTATACAATCTTTCAATAGTCAATAGGCAAAGCAAATAAAAATAAAGATATAAAACATTGGAAAAAGATGATTAACAAAATTGAATGAATTGTCATAACAGAACATTGATTTAACATCTACAGTATACACACATTCTTTCAGGTATACCTTAGAATATTTGCAAGCTGGACCGTGTGTCTTCACATAATCTTCTCAGACTATAATGCAGTTAAGCAAGAAATTGATAAAAAGATAACTATAAAATATCCAAATTCTTGGAAATTAAGAAAAGCACTTCTAAATAATCCATAAGTCAAATGAGAAATGACAAAGGAAGTTGGAAATATTATAATTCATTGATGATGACAATAAAATACATAGAAAGTTATAGGGTCTAAGACTATCAGCAGATTTTTCAGCAGAAACCTTGCAGGCTAGCATGGAATGGACCAATATATTTAAAATGCTGAAAGCAAAACAACTGGCAACCAAGGATACTACATCCAGCAAAATTGTCTTTCAAAAATGAAGAAGACTTAAAGACTTTCAGACAAAAACTGAGGGAGTTCATCACCACTAGACCTGCCTTACAAGTCTGCCTTACAAGACTCAGGAAGTTTGGCCCTAACCTGCAGGAAAATTTGCTGGCCTTCTCTTTTTTTGCCTGCCAGCTCCTTACAAAAACAAAAAATGCTAAAGGAATTCCTTCAACTTGAAAAGAAAGGTCCTTAAACATTACCAAGAATGCACAAAAAATATAAACTTATTGGTAAAGATCATCAAGTTTCTCCCCAGCAACAACATGGTCCCCAGAGTGTTCTGCAGCTTTCTGAACAGTACTGCCAGGACGTCCAGCACCTCAGGTTGACTACTACCTGCCAAATTAGCACCTTTAGGCTACACTACTTCCCTTAATATGGGAAGAAACACAGCCCTAGTATAGCAAAGTTCTGGTCCCAGGGAAGCTTCTCAATGTCCCCAAAAACATGGAAGTTGTCATTATGTGCAAGTCCTTGTGAAACATGTGACCTTCAACAATCCACACAGCCTATGAAGGAAAAGCGACATTCCAAATTAAAATTTAGAGGTGAAAGAGGAAGAATATGTATTTCATAATTCCTGGCAGACTCAAGAAGACTGGCCCTAACCTGCAGGATAATTTGCAGACCTTCTCTTTTGTTGGGCTTGATTTGCCTGCCAGCTCCTTACAAAATCATCCTTAAGACATGCTAAAATACCAATACTGAAGTCAATTTGATACCTTCAGAGGACCACCTACATGTGAAGTGTTGACCGTTAGTATCAGCTGTATCTTATGAAACATTTATTATTTTTTAGATAGAATCTGTAGTTATGATTGAAACATTAGGCTAACATGGCAACCCTAAAGCAGCAGCTATCCAACTAACAAGACCCTAAAATGATTCATCTCTTTCTATATAGACATCACTTGTCTCACTACAACTTATTTTTTCTGTATTTCAATATGAACCATTACCCATATCATAGAAAGTATAATACAAAAATTCATGATGCACTGTTATGAAATATGGCTTATAATTACACACATTCTGAATTCTTAAAGAATGTAATTCCTAAGTCATGAAAATCAAATATATTACATTTATTCTTATTCTACGTAAAAAAAAAAAAAGAAAAAGAATGGGATTCATTTCCAGTATAAGCAAACCCATAAAGATAATAAAAATATTGCGGTTGCGGGGGGGTAGGAGGAACGGAAAATGGGGAAATAATTGCCAAATGTTACAGGGTTTCCTTTAGGATAATGAAAATGCATTTGAACTGCAGATAGTGGCCGCACAGCATTGTGAAGGCACGAAATGCTACTTAATTGTTCACTTTAACAGGGTTAACATTATGTTATGCAATTTTACCTCAAAAAATCTTTTTAAAACTTACGGGATGCAACCAAATTCATGCTTAATTGATGATTCGTAACCTAAATTCATATAATTAAAAAGAATAAAGACTAAAAATCCAGTGTCTAAGTATCTGTGTCAAGACATTGTAAAAATAAAGCAAATTACTCCTAAACTAAGAAATTGAATAAACAAAATAATAAAGATAATGACAGAAATTAACGAATCAGAAAAGAAATACATATATAGTAAGAGTCATAGCCAAACACTGCACTTTGAAAGATTAATAGAATTGATAGTGTTCTGGTCAGAATTATCAAGAAAAAACAGTGCATCAATATCCTATAACAAATGACAAGGGGAATGCTACTACCGATGATCTAGACATCAAAAACAAACCTTTTAAAGGCAACATATTTAAAAATTTAGATTAAGTGGTAAAATTTCCAGAAAAATATATTTTCTCAAAGCTCACTTTAAAACAAAACATAAATAGTATTTTAAGCTTTCAGTAATTGAATCCACACTTACAAACTTTCTCAAAAAGAAAATGCCAGCTCTGAAAGCCTTCACCAATGAACTCCATTAAATGTTTGGGGGTTTTGGGGTTTTTTTGAGATGGAGTCTTGCACTGTAGCCCAACCTGGAATGCAGTGGTGTAATCTCGGTTCACGGCAATCTCTGCCTCTCGGGTCCCGGTTCAAGCCATTCTCCTGCCTCAGCCTCTGGAGTAGCTGGGATTACAGGCACGCGCCACCATGCCTAGCTAATTTTTATATTTTTAGTAGAGATGGGGTTTCACCATGTTGGCCAGGCTGGTCTTGAACTCCTGACCTAGTGATCCACCCGCCTCGGCCTCCCAAAGTGCTAGAATTACAGGTGTGAGCCACCGTGCCTGGCCCATTAAATGTTTAAGAAGTAATACTTGTCTTACACAAATTTCCCCCCTAAATTCCTTTATGAGAGCCCTAAACCTTGGCAACAAAACCTGACAAAGATGTCTCAGCCATGAACATAAATACAAAAAAGCCTTAATTATTCATCATAGACAAGCACTCAATATCATCTAAGTGTTCAGAAAAAGTAAAATGGTTAAATAAATTAGGGTGTATTTACTAAAGGAACCCATTACAACAGTGAAAATGAACAAGTCACTGCAGCATCAATAAATGACTGAACCTCACAATGTTGAACAAAAGAAGACATATGAAAAAGAATATTCCCTGTACGATTCCATTCACAAAAAGTCAAAATAGGGGACACTGGCCTGGAGTGTTAGAAGTCAAGGTAGCAGAGACCTTTGGAGAGAAAAGGGACAGTGGTTGGGAGGGGTGTTCACGGTATTTTTAAATTTCGGTGATAACTACATGGTGCTCATTTTGTGATCATTTGTTGATCTGTACATTCACATTTTATATGTTTACGTTATTTATATATATTTATACAGAAAAAAATATTCTAGGTAAAAACTAACCTACCAACTCACCCCCCTAACACACACAAAAGCAAGTTGCAGAATACAGTACGTGGCACAATTCTATTAGTGTAAAAATAATTGTGTATGTGTGTGTTCAGACAAAGGCATGTATAAAAATGTACCACTGTTGGCAGTGTTGACTTCTGAGAAGCAGGGACGAATTGGAATGGGGTGGGTTGGGAATCTTCAGGCTTTGCTCTCTCCCTCTTGTTATTGTTTGAATTTGGAATTGTTTTGATGTGATATTCTCTAAGTAGCGATAAGTCAGACTGATCAGTGTTGGAAAGTTTGGCTGGAGGTGAGGAAAGAAGAGGAAAAGAAGAAAGGGAGTATTCCCCAGGAACACTGGCTTTGCTTCAGGACCCTAAAAATAAAATCGGTGTTTGGAACACCAGGGCAGCAGAGGGTGCCACCTACCAGCAGGCTCAGGAAGGTGTCCTTAGGAGAAGGGCCAGCCCTCAAGGTCCCACGGTAGAAGGCGGGGCCCGGGTGGCTGTCTGGGACAGGCCTCCAGGTGGCGGAGCGGAGCCTAAAAGGAAGGCCAAGCATGTGGGAGAGGAAGTCCCCTCCCCACCCAGTTCCCAGGGCTGAACCCAGGTGGCCTGGGCCGGGCCTAGGAGTCTGTTTCAATGAGCTAGAGCAGACTAGACACGTTAAGATCGGAATCAGGACGCTTGCTCCAGGACTCTAGTTCTGATGCCGAAGCACTCGACAGCCTGGAGTAAACCACTCAGTCTCTGTACCTTGGGCTCGTCATCTGCAGTGAGGAATGCGAAATCTCAGAGTTCCCTGATCACCGAAGTGTGCACTGGGGGCCGGCCGGAGCATACCTCTCAAAGAAGCTCATTTTCATCTCCAGGGAGTAGATGGTAAAACCCTCCAGGGAAGAGTTATTGATGCTCACAGACCCAGTTATTCCTGCAGATAGGAGGCAGGAAAGAGACTATGAGCCAGGACTGGGTATTCTCCAGCGTAGGGGACAAAGAAACACAGACATGTATGTGCCTTAGGACAGGGGCTCAGCCAGGAGGGCAAACGTTTGTCTGACCTGCCATGAGTACTGGAACTTTCCCTGAAACTCCCAAAAGGAGACTGGCCCTGCTCCAGAACAAGCCAGCACTGAACATCCTGGCTCCACCCTCTGGCCCTGGAGATCCAGGGAAGGCAAGACAAGCCTGAGGGGCAGACTTTGTATCTCTGCTCCTGGGGCCTGGGAAGCTCACAGCTGAGAGGCTGGTTTATCCCTCCCAACCCCAGCAAGCAGCCTGGGTCTTCGGGTCTGAGTAACTGAGGAGAGGCCACAGCCAGAGCCCACCTTTCCGCTCATTCTGTATCTGCCATGAAAAATTGACTCGTCCTTGATTCTCCACCAGGATCCTCAGGTATCTGCAGACCTGCTGGGACAGGCCAGTTTATGGAGACCAAGCAGCTATGGAGGGCACCTACCCTACAACCCTTTTTTTTCTCTGAGTTCCATTTGGAGACACAAATGGGAGAAAAGGAAACTCCAGAGCCCAGCAGTCTTCCCTGTCACATAAGGACCCCCTTGTGTTCCTATTCCATAGTCAATCTTCCCTTTCCCTTCTGCTGATCCTACTGGGAAAGGCAGAGAGACTCAGCTATGCCTCTAGCCAACTCTAAAGGCACAGAAACCCAACCGGGGACTGAGGACCGACCAGCTCAGGGCTTAGTGAGGAAATCCCCCTCCCACTGCGGCATGCACGTGGTAGCTTCTGACGGGTCAGGGCCTAGGAGGCATTTAGGCTTCCAGCCCTGCACACCTCCTGCTACAGCTCCAGGTGAGGAGCAGGACCAACAGCAGGGGTGGAGAAGGGAGGCTGACTGTCTCATGACCAGGCTCTGTCTGCATTTGAGGGTGGTTGAGGGCGTCACCTGGCCTCTCAAATTACATACTCTGAGTTCAGGAATGTGCAGGTTCTGGTTATTCTCATTAAGAATCCCTATCATTGTCTCATCCAAAAACACCTGCAAAAGAAGAGCCAGCATCAGACTGCGATGCCCACCTGAAGAAAGGGAGAAGAGAGGCTGTGATTCTGGCAGCAGGAGGTCGGTATGAAGGCAGGGGCCAGCTGTGGTGCTCACAGATGGCCCCAAGAGATTCTCAGTGGTGATAAAGCAGAAACCAAGTCTATTTGGCCTGACTTTTTATTCCTAATGCCTCCCATATAGTAGGTCATCAGAGAGCAACATGTGTCCTCAATCAACCACCCTGCCCAACAGCATGGGGAGGTGACGCATTTTGCTTCCCACACAGATAGCCTGCTCGCCCTACCTGTGCCATGTCGCGAGCGTGGGCACAGAGGCGGCCTCCGGAGCAGATGGACTTCTCATACAGGACAAGCCCGTAGGACTGGCCGCTCCCATTGTTTATGGGAAGGTTCTCCATGTTGACGGGCTGATGTGACCTGACTGGCTATGAGGAGAAATGGCAGGAGCAGAAGCCCAAGGGCTGAGCAGTCAGGATCCTCCGTCCTAAGACCCTGTCATGTGATGTGGTCCCACCTAATGGTCCCCAAGGGTTCTTTGAATGGGAAATGATAAAATACATGACATGTGATAATGTCTGTGCTTATGTCTCCACTGCTCAGGAAACTCAGGGGATTGAAGGGCATGGTGACACGGGAGCAATCGCTATAATCCTAAGAACTGATTAACAGAGGAAATAGCTGGGGCACAGGGGCTCACGCCTGTAATCCCAGCACTTTGCGAGGCCGAGGCAGGTGCATCACTTGAGGCCAGGAGTTCGAAACCAGTCTGGGCAACATAGTGAGACCCCACATCTACAAAAAAGTTAAAAGTTTAGCTGGACGTGTTGGTGTCCTCCCGTAATCCTAGCTACTCAAGAGGCTGAGGTGGGAGGATTGCTTGAGCCCAGGAGTTCAAGGCTGCAGTGAGCCACGATTGTGCCACTACATTCCAGCCAGAGCAACAGAGCAAGACCCTGTCTCAAGAAAAAAAGAGTAAATAAACTCTATTCTAAAATTGCTGAAGTCTAGCAATGAACTATGCACCAAGCAAATGTTTATTTCATTAAATTAAATTGAGTTACATTAAATAAATTTAGTTTTTTTAGTGTACCAGTCACCACCTTTTCTCTAAAATAATGATAGCAGAGGTGAAACCAATGTGAATTCAAGGGCTACTGTTTCCGTTCCAAACAGCTTTCACCTGTCCTCAAAATAGGACAGGAAGGCTGATGGGAATGGACGAGCAGCGACCCAGGAAGTTCAGGCCCAGCTGCTGGCAAAGCATGGGCAGAAGCTGGTCTCCAGATCCCAGCCCAGTGGCTTTTCCTACGTGGATTCCACAAGGACCACAAAGTGCAAACAGCAGTATCCCCAGATAGGTTCGGCTGAGCAGGGACCCAGGATCCTCCGACATCCTGCCCCCCTCCCAGGGACCCAGGATCCTCCAACATCCTGCCCCACTCCCAGGGACCCAGGATCCTCCGACATCCTGCCCCCCTCCCAGGGACCCAGGATCCTCTGACATCCTGCCGCCCTCCCAGGGACCCAGGATCCTCACGACATCCTGCCCCCCTCCCAGGGACCCAGTATCCTCACGACATCCTGCCCCCCTCCCAGGGACCCAGGAACCTCTGACATCCTGCCCCCTTCCCAGGGACCCAGAATTTTCTGACATACTCCCGCCCCTACCCTGCATACTGACTCCAAGGTCAAACCCCTCATGGTCCACCCAGAAGGAGCTGGTGGCTTTTGTCCCACAGTTCTAAATTTGAATGAAATGCAGATGATTTGTTTTCCCACTTCCCAATATAAAGTTTCCTGAAGGAATCCCCTACCCCATCTCTCCAATGGCCACTGCTCCTCCTGTGGCCAATGAGCACTCACCTCATTTAAGTAGGCTAGGGCATCCCACAGCGGGAGGAACAGCGAGGGCCTCACAGGGGGATATGCAGCCTTGGGAGTAAGTTTGGGTACTTGGGGCAGGGGAATTGCTGCAATGAAGATGGGGCACAGGGCAAAAAGTGCCTGAGATGACCACTGCCTTCTCTAAGCCCCCTCCCCTGTGCCTATCCAGCATGGCTTTTGCTTTTGTATTGGGGGTTACTATGTCATCCATGGTACTAAGAGCTTTACAAAGGGTAACTTAATCTTCACAGTCATCACAGGAGACCAGGGCTACTACCTTTATGTTTCAGTGAAGAAACTGAGGCTTAAAATGCTTAGAAACCCTTATTTTTAAAAAAACACACAGATTTTAAGCAGGAAACCCAGGGTTGGAAGTTAAGGTTTCCCTTATTCTCAGGAGCTCAGTTAAACTCCTGCCCACAAGGGAGACCCTTGCCATCCTCACTCTTCCACAGAACAGAGACTCCTTACAAGGAGAGTTGGCCCATAAGGTAAACGGGTGCTGAGTACCTGAGAAAGATCCAAAGAGTTTTTGAAGCTTGAAATATTTTTCTGTGTAATCGCCAGCCTCCGTGAGCACAGCATCATAGTCTGCAAGACACCAGGGCCGGTAACGGGCCATGTAGTCTCCACAGCAGGCCCTGTTTCAGCAGCGCTGACAGGATACAGCCAGGGCCACTGAGAGTGAGAGAGAAGGAAGACACCTTCCATCCCACGTGGCAGTGTAATGCCAACCTAGACATCTTCCATCCCACGTGGGAGTGTAACGCCAACCTAGACACGTTCCATCCCACGTGGGTGTGTAATGCCAACCTAGACACCCTCCATCCCACGTGGCAGTGTAACGCCAACCTAGGCACCTTCCGTCTCACATGGGAGTATAACGCCAACCTAGACACATTCTGTCCCACGTGGGAGTGTAAGACCAACCTAGACACCCTTCATCCCACGTGGGAGTGTAACGCCAACCTAGACACCTTCCGTCCACGTGGCAGTGTAACACCAACCTAGACACCTTCCGTCCCACATGGGAGTGTAACGCCAACCTAGACACCTTCCGTCCCACGTGGGAGTGTAACGCCAACCTAGACACCTTCCATCCCACGTGGGAGTGTAACGCCAACCTAGACACCTTCCGTCCCACGTGGGAGTGTAATGCCAACCTAGACACATTCTGTCCCACGTGGGAGTGTAAGATCAACCTAGACACCCTCCGTCCCATGTGGGAGTGTAACGCCAACCTAGACACATTCTGTCCCACGTGGCAGTGTAACGCCAACCTAGACACATTCTGTCCCACGTGG